CTATTTTCCATTCTATTCTATTTTTTATTCTATTTTCCATTCTATTTTCCATTCTATTCTATTTTCTATTCTATTCTTTATTCTATTTTCCATTCTATTCTATTTTCTATTCTATTCTTTATTCTATTTTCCATTCTATTCTATTTTCTATTCTATTCTTTATTCTATTTTCTATTCTATTTTCCATTCCGTTCTATTTAATTCTTTTGCATTCTATTCTATTCCTTCTCGACACTTTCTTAGACAGTTTCTCACCTGTCTTAACATAAAGCCCTTTGGATGCTGTGTAATGCTGAGAGCTTAGAGGACTCCTGGCAGTCGTGATCAAGAGCTTGCTATGTGCTTTACGAAATACAAAATAGTAATAATAACAATAAACTGTTTATTCCAAAACCGCATGTTGTAGAGGCTGCGTTACCTTGGTGTCAAAACAACGGCTTTCCATGCACTCCCTTTCTCGCACTGAGAAAATAAATCTTTTTTTTAAAAAAGAGTATTAAAGGGAACGATTGTCATCCTAGCCTGATCAGATTCTGTTGGTGTGGATTCACTGTCGGCTTTTCTCTTCCCGGCAGGTGCTCCGGAAAGGCTCCGGAACCTTGTGTGAGGCCCTGCTCATGGTCCAGGCCTATCACGCCAACATCATCTTCCCCAACAAGCAGGAGCAGGAATTCAACAAGCTTACGGAGGACGGGCATGTGCTCGACTCGGAGACCTACATCGGGGGCCACGTGGAGGCCCTGGAGTCGGGGGTCTTCCGCAGCGACATCCCCTGCCGCTTTAAAATGGTACGAACCTTCCGTGGAAAACGTCTTTATCAAGTCTCTCAAGCTATCCAATTCACGGTTGCCCCAAAGCTGCTTTCTGGGTTTTTTTCTTTTTCTTTGAAGAGGTTTCGCTTCTCATCCAGGAGGCTTCTTCAGTTCTGAATAAGGCAGGTTAATTTCACAGAGCCGAAGAAGCTTCTTGGATGAGAAGCGAAACCTCTTCAAAGAAAAAAATCCAGAAAGTCCAGTTGCCTCTTGGGCTGGGGGGGGAAAAAGCACCTTTTGTTATTTTTATTTATTGATTTATTTTCAAAACATACAACTCCTCCTTCTTTACATATTGTAGAAAGTGTATCAGCTGGTTACAAAAGGCTTTTGTGCATCTCTTCCNAGATTTCTTCCAACAACCAGTTCTCCGAACTGCTTAGAAAGTTACCAACCGGTTCTCCTGGATAGGTGCGAATCATCACTGGTTCTAGTCCTGCCTTAGGTATGAAAGTCTAGCCTTTAGGCTTTCTCTTTAATGTTTTAAAGACACAAAAAAAGGAGAAACTAAGCATTAATCCCTGTACTCCAGGCCTTAGTTAACTGTTTAGACAGTGCATGGAACTTATCACTCAATTTCCAAGGTTTTATACATAAATAGGAGGACTGTTTCAATTTTTAATACTCTGAAATACCAGAAGAAACTATGGGTGAAAACTAATCAAGGAGAGAAGCCATTTAGAACTAAGGAAAAATTATTAATAGTAAGAACAATCAACCAGTGGGATGGCCAACTTCCTTCAGAAGTTGGGAGTGCCCCATCACTGGAGCCTTTCAGAAACAGACTGGAGACCCATGTAACTGAAATGGTATAGGGTCTCCTGCTTGATCAGGGGGGTGGACTAGAAGACCTCCCGGACCCATTCCAACTCTATTTTTCTTTATTCTGATATGCGACATTTGTCAGCTCACTGGGCGTCATATTTCTTATGGCCTGTCAAAATTGGATGGGAGCATTTTGATTTAACTAGGAGTTGGAGTACCTGACCTCCAAGCTCTCTTCAAATTCTGTTCTATTCTATTGTCCCAAAGGTGCTTTTTTCAAGAGGCAAGGGAACTCTCTGCTTTTTCTTTGAAGATGTTTCACAAAAAGTCATCAAAGAAAATTTTAAAAGTTGACTTAAAAAGAGCAAAGGAAGAGCTTAAAATGAGGCTTTGGTGGTAGCTGGAAAGTGGGGAGTTAAATATTCCACAACTAACGGGTTTTCCAGCTTCTTTTTTTGGTGCGCAAACAGCTGCCTCAGGATCATACTTACAATGGTGGCCATTTTGTTTGCCCCGGTGGCCATTTTGAATACACTGTCGGACATTTTATGCCCTCCAGCTGCTATTTCACCACATCGGCTGCCCAAAACATTTGATTGCTATTGGCGCCATGATACCTGGTCTTTGTATTCCCCACGGGGAATGGGTCATTTAGTCTTACCCCACAAGGCTTGTCATCACAGGGTTCAGGTCAGCTAGGCCTACCCTGTCTATTGCACTGCCTCACTACGATTGAAAGTATAGTAATTGAAGCACAATAAACTTCATTGCAGCGATTCCAAGCCCACCCCTAACAATATGTTATTCTATTCTATTGTTATTCTATTGTTATTCTATTACATTGTTATTCTATTCCATTGTTATTCCATTGTTATTCTATTCTATTGTTATTCTGTTGTTATTCTATTCCATTGTTATTCTATTCCATTGTTATTCCATTCCATTATTGACTTGAAGCACAATAAACTTCATTGCGGTGATTCCAACACTCCCCCCCCCCAAAAGGCCACTCTGTTATTCTATTCTGTTTTGTTATTCTATTCTATTGTTATTCTATTGTTATTCCATTCCATTGTTATTCTATTCCATTGATGTTCTATTCCGTTGTTATTCTATTCTATTGTTATTCTTTTGTTATTCTATTCCATTGTTATTCTATTATTATTCTATTCCATTGTTATTCTATTCCATTGTTATTCCATTCCATTGTTGAATTGAAGCACAATAAACTTCATTGCGGTGATTCCAACGCCCCTCCCCCAAAGGCCACTCTGTTATTCTATTCTGTTTTTTATTCTATTCTATTGTTATTCTATTGTTATTCTATTCCATTGTTGTTCTATTCCATTGTTATTATATTGTTATTCTATTCTATTGCTATTATATTCCTTTGTCGTTCTATTGTTATTCTATTCCATTGTTATTCTATTCCATTGTTGTTCTATTCCATTGTTGTTCTATTCCATTGTTGTCCTATTACATTGTTATTCTATTCTATTGTCATTCTATTGTTATTCTATTCTATTGTTATTCTATTCCATTATTATTCTATTCCATTATTATTCTATTCCATTGTTAGTCTATTGTTATTCTATTGTTATTTGATTCCATTGTTTTTCTATTGTTATTCTATTCTATTGTTATTCCATTGTTATTCTATTCCATTATTATATTCCATTGATATCCTGATCTATGCTATTGTTTTTCTAATCTATTATATTGTTATTCTAATTATTCTATTTTCTATTCATCCCCTTGGACGACAAATATTTACAGGTGTTGTTGACCATTTTATTTAAGCCCTGAGTGTTTTTTTCTCAGTGGCAGAATGTTTGGACCTGTAAAAGACACAAAAAAAGAAACACACAAAAGAGAAAGAAGGGAACTTCTGCATGGTTGAAAGGATTTCACGTGGCAATTTTGGGAACTCAGATGACAAACAATGATGCTGGTTGTTTTTTTTCACACCTTCAATTCACACCTTCACACCAGGCCTGAGGATGTTAGAAATTTGCTAATTTTTTCTTTTTAATTGACACATCCTGTAAACATGAGCAAAACTTTGAAAGTCCTGCTCATCAAGGACCTAATTGTCAAGGAGAAGCAGAATCCAGTCGAGCGACAGACGTTCGAGGGTGTCTCTGGCNTGATTGATTGGATTTCTACAGCTCCCCCATCTCAGCAAATGAATCTGGGTGGGTCACTGTTTTGATAATCCAACAAAATGGAGTTCATCATGTTTCTGTATGAATCCCACTGACGGTCAATTGATTTAGCTGGGTTAGGGGGAGGTACCCCAAATTAGCCCCACTGCAGCCCTGCGCTGTGAAAAAAGAATGCAATAGATTCATCTACTCCAACCCGGCGAGTTTCAGGGTTCAGTGGAGATTTGAACCCATCACGTATAAGGACAATGATCCTTTACTGTCTGCTCCATATCCACTTTCCCATATTCTTAAATGCCCTTCTCTGTACGTTGTCCAGTTAGCCCAAGAACTAACAGTCAAAGATGCCAAAGTACATATAATTGTAATTATTTATTAAAAAATGTCCCATCATTGGAGTTCCAGCAATGTCCCTTCGCCAACTTCCTCATAACCAAAGTTTCTTCATGGACCAATCAATTGGGGCAAAGCGACATTATTCTCCCCATGTCTATAATCTACACTTCAATATCAAGGATTCATGTACAGTATAATACCCCCAAAAAATCCAGAGAATGCTCAAGGGAGAATCTCAAGAAGCTCTTATAATAAAAGGATGCTATGATCCAAACTAAAAAATAAATAAATAGAAGCATCACACTCATGGTCCAATAAGGGAGAGTTCGAAAGGACCAACTTTGTCAGGGAATACCAATTATTTGCCAAATAATTGATACAACACCAGAGATGGTATTCAGCCAGTTTGGACCAGTTTGCCTGAACTGGTAGCAGAAATCGTCTCTATTCTGTCCTATTTAGTCACGTTTTTGAGCCCGGGCGCATGCACAGAAGGTGCACCCACAAACAAAGTGCATGTGTGGAGGGTCAGGCACATGCGTGGAAGAGGCACGCACATGGCGAACTGGTGGTAGCAAAATGTGAAACCCACCCCTGAACAACACCAAATACCAAATATAAAATCAAGGGAGAGAAGGAGGGAAGAAAGGTTTAATTCAAATTACTAAATACGGGAGGTTGAGTAATAAGGGAAAATAGATCAGGATGGGCATTCAGCTCTCAAGATATCCACATTCAGAAATAAAAAGCTACATAGTAGACAAATGGTTGTCCAATCTCTTCTTAGAACTTTCAGTAATGGAGCATTTACAACTTCTGAAGCAGAGGTGGGATTCATTTATTGTTACTATCAGTCCGCCCACCACCATCACAAAACACGCCAATTTGCTTGCATATATGTATAACATCTAAAGCACATCAGTATAGGATGCGACTATACCCGGGCTGGTGGGCTGGCACCCCCCACCCGCAGGTTGCCCTAACCAGTTCGTCCAAACCAGTGCGAACCGGCTGAATACCACCTCTGTTCTGGAGGCAAGGCATTCCACTGATTAATTGTTCTCACTTTCAGAAAACTTCTCCTTCTAGATTTCTTCTCTCCTTCTTTACTTTCAACCATTGCCTCTTGTTTGGCCTTCTGGTGCTTTGGAAAATAGATTGAACCCCTCTTCCTTGTGGCAGCCCCTCAAATATTGGAAGACTGTTATCCTGTCACCCCAAGTCCTTCTTTTCACTAGACTAGACGTACCCAGTTCCTTCAACCGTTCTTCATCTTTTAGTCTCAAGTTCCCTAATCAATGCAAAGACGAGAAAGAGAGATTCTCCAGCACCCAAGAACAATACAACTCTAGAAATTAAATAGTAAGATCTCTCTCTCAGTTTGGACATCTGTTTGCAAATTGAAATATTAATAATCACATTTCATCATATTGACACATCTAATATTTTTCTGAGATATTTAATTTTTGCACTCTCTGATTCACTAAAATTTCTGACAATTTTTTTTTCAATAGAATATAAACATGGTCACTAAAAAAACTAATATATAACACTTAAAAAACCCACAAAACTACACACACACACACACACACACACACACACACATATAAAAGAAAGGAACTTTATAGAAACACTTTTATAGTAATCTGCCAATCCTCATCTGGTGAAGAATGCAGGCATATAAAATTTTGATCATGGAAGTTGACAACT